AATTATTACTAATTATATATTATATTTAATACTAGTTTTTTAAGTATTTAATAAGTATATAATATAAGTTAGTAGTATAGTGTTTTAGTTAATACCAATTTGTTGACAGTTTTTTGATCAAAAAAAAAATATTTATAATAAGATATCATCTTTAGTTTAGTTTAGATTTCAGTATTTTGTATTTTAAATAAATATTTTGTTTTTATTAATCTAATAAATAGTTTTTATTTTAGTTGTTTAGTAACAATTAACAAACAAATAAATTAATAATTAAAAAAATTTATTTAAAAATATTTTAATTAAACAATCAATAAATAAAAATAATATAAAATATTTTCTATATAATTATCTATTAGTTATTAATGTCAAATGTTAGATAAAATTTTTTTTAACAGCAATAATAATTATTACATAATTGAAAATAACTTGAATATCATTTTTGTTGTTAATTGTATAAACTAAATGAAAGGAAATAAAAATAATTAAAAATAAATATATAATTATTACAAAATATTTTCGAGTAATAATATAATAATTACCAATTGATAAGTAAATTGATTTATAATAAATAATTTCCAACAATAGAAACCAATTTTATGTTTTGATGTCAATTCAAGCAAACTATTAAACTGTAAATATTATAAGTTTTATAATAATTAAAAAAAACTATTATATCATATTATTCTATCATTTATTAAAAAAAATTATTAAATAAATAAAATTACTTTTAATTTTGTTTTTAACGATAATTTCCAAATTTTTTGTTGTTGTTTTTGTTGTTGTAATCTTGTATTTAAACTATAAAACAATTTATATGTTTGTTTAGCATTGGTATTGACTGAACTGGCAAACTGTACCAATAATGTCAATAATATTATATATAATATAAGTGTAGAAATAAATGAATATTTTAAATAATTATTGAATTCATAGTCAATTGATTTAATTAAACTGATAAATAAAAATGAAATAATTATTAGACAATATATACAATAATATAATAATGTTGTCGACCATAACTTATTTAATATATGATTTTTTAGAAATATTTTATTATAAAATATATGAAATTTTAGTAAACATCTAACAGTTGTGTTTTGTTTAAAAGTTTTATTAATATTAATAATAATTTTTTTAGTTTTCCTATTGAGTCTCAGTAACTCATATTTTTGATATAAACATATAGTTACAAAATATATAATAAAATATTGTATTTGAATTAATAGTTTACTATAAAGTTTTAAATATATTAAACTCCATATGAAACCAATAGTTAACAATTGAATCCATGAATAATATAATAACATGCCTATGAATGTACTTATAGTACATAATGTATACACAAATATATATGTTAGTAAACTAATTATTTTATAATATTTAGTCCATTGATATTCAATTAAATTATGTATATATTTGTTATTATATAATAAATAATAAAATTTATATTTTTGAATTTTTTGAATTTTTTCAAAACTATCATGTTTAATTAATAATATAAATATAAATGAGCATAATAAACACGGTTTGACTAATTTAAAATGTTTAGTTTTCAACCAATCACCAAGGTAAATATGATAATAGTAATTATTATTATTATTGTCAATAAAATAAAATGACAATTGTTTAATAAATTCAATAATTAAACACAAATCATATATAATATTAGTTTTATTGGATATATGTTTATAATTTTGATTATATTTAGGAAATCCCAATCGATAGCACTGTTCGCCCAATAAATATAATAGGATATCATATTTTGTTAAATACATATTTTTATATAATTTTTGTTCAATAACGAGATAATAGTAAAATAAATTTATTAAAATATATGTGTTATATATAATACAATATATTATTAATATATCTATTAATAAATATTTCTAAATATAAAAAAATTGATACAATATAGTCACTGAACTATTAATTTTTTTATATAATATTATAATCGATAAAAATTAATTATTAAATATTCAAAGTTCAAAAGTTAATAATATTTATGTACATATAAACATATATACAATATTAGGTATATTTATTTAATTAATTATGTAATTATTAGATGAGATATTTAATAAAAAAATACTAAAAATAATTTTTATCAATAAAATAAAATGATAATTGTTTTTAATAAACTCAATAATATTATAAAATTTGATATATGTTTAAAATATAAGATTATATTTACTAAATCCCAATCAATAACACTTATTAAATATAATATACACAAATATATATATATATATATATATTGTTAATTTCATTTACTAAAATGTCTTTAATAATTAATTTAATTTAATAATTAACTTTATATTTGTTATATTTATTATTTTTAATATACTATTATATTATTATTATTATATTGAAGTAAACGTAAAAATATATTGAATATGTTTAATAATTATACAATAATATTAGTCTGAAGTAAATAATTATTATTTTTAAAAAATAGTTATTAATTTGCTATTTTTATACCAATAATTTTATTGTTAATAATTTAATAGTTAATAGCATAATAATATTTTTTTAAATAGTTTGATACTAAATTTAAATTACAATATTATTATTAACAATTTTTTACTTAATATAAAATATTATTATTATTTTTATTATTTATTAAATTAATGCAATAATAAAACTTATCATTAAGACAATGATTGTATTAGTACAGTATATTATATTGTATTTATAATATATCTATAGTGTACTGTAGATAATAAATATAACTAATTATATTATTGTAACTAATAATTATAATTAATGTTTTATAATTTAATTTTTTTTAAATAATAATATAATTATAAATAAATTACATTTTTCCAATTATATTTTTAAAATTTATTCTACTTAAATAATATAAAAAATTAATATTATTTTTAATAAACTATTTTTAATTTGATTTTAAATGTCACTATAATATTATAAGTAATTTATAAGTAATTAAGTAATTAAAAAAATTGAGTGTAATTAATAATATATAATAATATAATTATATGTAGAAACTTTTAAAATTTTTAAATAATAAAAAAAGTTATTTTTATATTTATCTCAATATCATTTATTGAATATCATATGTAAAGTTATTTATACAGTATTATCCTTACAATTATATTATCATACATTGTAGAACTAATATAAAAATATAAGCAATTTTTAAATTTTTTTAACATAAATATAAATAATTATGTTTAATATATTGTTATAATTAATAAAAAAAATTAATTAATTCTTTAATTTGTTGAAAATAATTTAAATATCAATTTGGTAGTAATATGTAGAAACTAGAAAATAAAATTATCACAATATATATTAATTCATTAATTTTAGAAAATAGGAAAAATATTTTAAAATTAATTAATTTACCATTTGATATGTGAATTGATTTATTATAAATAGTTTCCAACAATAGAAACCAATTTTTGAATTTCGAGTCAATTCAATAATTGAATGTAACTTTAATTAATAACAATTAATAATAAATTATTATAATTTTTTTAAATATTTTAAATTTAATATTACCTTAATTTTTCTACTAATAGAAACATTTAATAGATTTTGTTGTTGTAATTTAACAATTAAACTGTAAAATAATTTATATGTTTGTTTAGCATTAGTATTGACAGTACTGGCAAACTCTACCAATGATGTCAATAATATTATATAAAAAATTAATAAACAAAATAAAGTTACTGATAAATAATGATTGATTTCATAGTTAATAGATTTTATTAACATAATAAATAAAAATGAAATAATAATTAGACAATAAATTCAATAATATAACAATGTTGTCGACCATAACTGATTTAATATATTATTTTTCAAAAACATTATATAATATAGTTTATGAAAATGTTTTAATTGTTTATCAAATAAATTGACTTTTAAATTTTTATTCAAACTAAATACTATTAATTTTTGATTAATTGTTTTAATATCTTGATATTGATGCAAACATATTGTAACAAAATATGCCATATTATAGGCTAAAATTTCGCCTAATTTACTATATATTATAGCATGAAATAGTGACCAAAATATGCCAATAGTTATCAATTGAATCCATGAACAATACAATGACATACCTATGAATGACAATATACCGCACATTAAATAAAATATTATTATTATAATAATACTAATTATTTTTAAATATTTTGCACATTTATAATAATATATATTGTTAGTATATTTATTATTATTATATAATAATTGGCGTAAATTTTTAGAAACTTTTAGAAATAGTTTATTGCTATTGTATTTCATAAGCAATACACTTAATATAAAACAATTAATACATAATCTAAATAATTTAAATTGTTTAGTATTATACCAATCGCCAAAATATACTTGATATTGATTATTAGTATCGATAAAATAAAATGATAATAGTTTTAAAAATTCAATAATTAAACATAAATTATATATTATGTTACGATTATTGGATATTTGTTTATAATATGGATTATATTTAGGTAATCCTAATCTATAGCATTGTTCACCTAATAAATACAATATAATATCCAAAGTTTTTATTTTTTTCATTTTTGTTTTATTATTAGAATATTTTTTTAATAGAAATTTTTTAGTTATGATTAAAAAATATATTATCTAAAAAAATAAATATTTCCTTATATAAAAAATAAATGTTAATATTTGCATTTATATTATTATAAACTTTTAATATCAATATATCTATATTTAGTTTATATAATGGTTTATAAGGTTAATATCAAAGTTTATTTAAGGTATAATATATTAATTATTTAATGTCTAGTAATATAATAATATAAACCAGTTGAGAATGCTAGAAAGCATTTCCATACGAATTCCCTGACATTTCTTAATTTATCATTACTAATAGTAAGAATAGACAACATGAAAATTAAAAAATTTTATTTAAAATTATTAATCAAAAAAATTTACAAATATAATAAAAATAACTATTTTCTATATTTACTTAATTCAAATAGTACAACATTTAATAATATATATAATTAATTAGATATGTCAATAAAATCGACATCAATATTTTGACAGTTGTTACAAATTAAATTTTCAGAAATTGCAGTGATAGTAACATCTAAACATTTTTGATGATATTTTTCACCACAATTTGTACATTGAATCATATTATTATCTTCTGTTTGTGCACATGTACAATGTAATGATTTGACAACTTTTGATAATAATATAGTTTCTTCAATTTCCTCTGAGTTTGGCAATGATGGATTTCCTGTTTCATACCATTGACGCAAACAATTTCTTAAAACATCGCTGGAATCTAAAATTTTTCTTGAACTTGGGTTAATATTAGAACAGTTATAGGCCATATTTATTAAAGTGTGTAATCCACAATCTTTAGCATTAGGTTGTTTAGTGACTTTCCAAATCCGATAATATATTATAGGAGTAATAACTATTTTTCTAATATAAGCACTCACAACGCGAATTATAAAATTATTTGTAGATAAAGAATTCAATGAATCGTAGACATTACATGTAATTATATCTGATTCATATTCCACGTGTATATATATCCAATGACCACCAGGATTAATTATGTGATGCATATTCTGTCCAAAATAGCTGAAGTAATTTCGAGGTTTAAGATAATTGTATGAATGATGAAATAAATATGACGGCTCAAATTCCAGTGCATTAGAATTTGATAATAGAGATCTTGCTATATACATTCCATTAGTAATATGTGTATCATTTAACCATCCATTATCTTCTAATCCTTCAAGTATTCTCTTCTCTCTTAATTCTAAATTTTCAAATAAATACGTATGTGTTGCTTTCGACAGCCAAATGTTTTGATTTATAAATACTTGGGATTGTGAATGCTCTTCAATTTGGGTTTGAGACAACTTTATTAGAGATACCTTTGAATCCTTTATTGTCAAATGCATATCAATTTGCTCTTGGCTTAGTTTAGGAATAACTAATTTAGTCTTTTTAATATTATCTAATTTTATGTCTTTTAAAGTATCAGCTATTAAACTCCGTTGTGATGATGAATTTAATTCAGAGTTTAAATCATTTTCTTTGTCTATGCTATTCCATGATGATAAAGTTGACAATGAATTCAAATCTGCAATACAACTATCATTTGATACGTCTATCCAAAACGGTATATGATCTGAACCGTAAAAATCATATATGTGAATTTTGTCATTTTGATTTGTAGTGAAAATATAATCAATATGACTTCCGTATTTAGTGGTAGGCACATTTTTCGGTATTAATGATAACCATTTAAATGTTTTCATAGTATACTCAGTCAATCTTCTTCCATTATCTGAATTGCATTCAATGTTAAAATCTCCACAAATAATTAAGTGTTCATAGTCACAGGTGTTCTTTGCAATAATACTTAAAAGTTCTTTTAATATTTTAATTGGAACATTAGATGAAATATATAATGCAACAACCGCTATGTTGTCAATTTTAACACAAGTAATTTCATAATGCCAATTAGGATTTATATGTTTATCAATAGTTTCGTAAATTATAGAAGCCTTAATATTTTCTTTAACGTAAATAGCAACTCCACCTTCAGCAGTTGTAGAGTTTTCAGAATATATATGCGACACAACTTTCAAGTCTCCAATATTTGGTAAATCTTTTCGTTTAACTCTATTTTCAACTAGAACTAAAACATCTGAAGATATTATATTTTGATCACAATTTAAATCTAAATGATTTTTTCTAAGCGATTGCACATTTAAATATGCTATTAAACAATCCTTCTTTGGAAAATTAGTTTGAGGTTCAATAATTAAATCAAGTTTTGCTTCTGATTGTAATCTTACAATTTCTTCGAAAATTTGATTATCACTTACTTTAGGTTTTAGATTTTTTAAAATACTAAAATCTCCTTCGATATATAATCCATTTATAGATGTTACACGAGAAAAAGCTGTATAAATGAGTTCACGCGGCAATCCTGGAGTTAAATTTACCAAAACTTTGTGAAATGTTGATCCTTGACTTTTATGTATTGTCATTGCTTCACAACAAACAATAGGAAATTGAGTACGAGAAACTGATATATTAAGAAAGCCACCAATTTGGAAAGTTTTTTTTACCTCATCAATAGGAGTCCATAATTTAGAAATATTTTGTTTAATAATTAATTGTTGATGTTTTCTTCTCATTTCACTGCCAGAATTTCCAGAAAATTGAATCCAAATTCTATTAATTTTTTTGGTTATTCGATCATGTTCTATTTTCCTTAAAACACCAACTGCTCCATTAAATAAGCCATCTGTGACATCAACATTGCATGTAATCATATATTTTAAATTTAATTTAAAGTCTATTTCTTTTGGCAAACCATAAGTTTCTTGATATGTCATTGTTGATATTTTGTCTAGTATTTTCTTTTCATCGTCTTTATTTGATTTAACAATAATATCTGTGGCCATATGTTTTAGCAAATTTCCAGGTTTATCTTCTATTGCTTTTTGATACGTTATATACGTCACGATTTGTGAAATACAAACAAACCGCTTCATCTTTTGTTCCATCAATTACATTAACTCGAGTTTCAAGAATGTCAAGATCACAGGTATCCAATTGTGCTTTGGCTAAACGATTTAAGCAATTAACGAATTTTAAATCATCTTTTTGACGCATAACTTGTGTTAATTCATATGCTTTAAATTTATTCCAAAGATATGGACCACATAGATAACTGTAAACTTTGTTTTTATCGGGAATAAAAGGCCAATTACCTGCAACTGGTTTTGCTTGATGTAGATCTCCAATTAATAAGACTGAGATTCCGCCAAATGGTAAGTTATTTTGAAATATTTCTTTAAGTCGTTCATCAATCTAATTAAATATTTTACTGCTGCACAGGCTTATTTCGTCAATAATTAATAATTTTAAATCTTTTAGTTGTACTCGCATTGTATTAGCGATATCAGCAGATAATTTGTTTAGAGAACCACCTCTTGATTGTATATGTGGAAATCCAAGTGCACCATGTAATGTGACACCGTCTACATTCCATGCCGCTTTTCCTGTGTAAGCAGTAACTAAAACTTTAATTGTTTCCTGTCTAGTTCCGGGTTGTGAATTTATAAGCCGAAGTACTGATTGATAAATGCATTTAAGGACATGACTTTTTCCAACGCCTGCAGATCCCATTAGAATATTATAAAGAGGTAGATTTAATGTTTTAAATTGATAAATTATATTCATTGTATAATTTCTCTGTTGAATATTTAACGATCTCATCATTTTACGATAATCTTCTTCTCCAATTACTTTTGGGACAGATATTCTTTCCATATATGACTTTGATTTGTCCAATTTGATGACATCATCTTCGTCAAATATGTTGTAAATTGGAGATCGCTGTGCAAGAATTTCGTGTTGACTTTCAATAGTTTCGTTCACATAATTAATTGTTTCATCTTTAAGTTCGTTCTCGTTTTCAAGTTGTGCGTCTAATAATTGATTTTCTAAAGACTGAGGATCAAATAGTTCCCTATTACTATCTATTATCTCTTTGTTTCGTTCATAGATCTTTTGACACAAATCCACTTGTATATCTTTTTCTTCATTATTCCAAGGGAAATAGAGAAATATTAGCGATCGATAATAATTTTTTGGATCTGTTGTCTGGTTATATTTGATAAATCTAATTATTTTCATATTCTTTCGTTTTATCTTTGAGCGCAAATGTTTGTGGAAAAACATTTCTAACATCGTTAATAAGACTTTCTTCATTTTCATCTTCATCATTGTTTATATTCATTAATTGTCTATCACTTAAAGATTTGTGATATGTGTATGATGCGGCAAATTCAGCTAAACACAATTTATTCAAAGTTGGAGTATTTGGACGAGCTGAATATTGTTCTAAGATGCCTTTAAATGTTATGTCTGTAGAATCATTAGGTAAATTTTCCAAATCTTTTTTTGACTTTAACATTTGATATCTTTCATTTGGCGGTCCATTATTAATAAAAGTGCATACACGAGACATACGCGAAATAGTCATACTTAAACAATGATAAACAGCTTCTTGTGCTGAAATTTCAGTACCATTTACTAAAGTGTTTGCCAAATGTCTTACTTGTTGTTGAAGTGTTTTGTTTCCTTTTTTTGCCTCATCATTAGCTTGTTTTAATAATAAAGATATTCCTCGCATAGATTTGCTAATATATGCGCATAGGTATGTAACACAAGCGTAAGGATGTAAACAATATTGAATATCATGATTTGCACGCCATAATTTTACCCATAAACTGTTGTATGCATTTACAAAAATTGCATTTGGTTGACGTTTTAAAAAAATTTCTTCACGTTTTAAAGATGATCTTAAGGCATTGATATAATCTTTGTAAGAAATATTTAATGATTTTAAAAAATCGTAAAAAGTCATGTGATTAAGTTCTCCTTTTGCAATAGGAACAGAAAGCTCTTCAATTTTTGATGAAATTAATTTGTAATTAATCTTGTGTAATGTTTTTTCAGTCAGTAATACATTATCATCTAACGATTTTAGAATTCTTGTTTCTGGCATTGGAGGCATTGGAAAACGATAACGACAAGTATTTTTCCCTTTCATACAATTTTCCATATGTCTATGAACTTGTAATGTATTTATCAGATGTGTCGTGTCTTCATCTATAATTTGCGTCTCCTCAGATTTAGATTCAATATAATCAACAGTTGAAGTTGAAGATATTTCATCTATAAATTTTTCAACTTCACAAAAAAAATTCGAATTGTTTTTTTCAAGTTTTGGCGCGTCAGATATCCATAAAAGTCCGTGAATATGAGGTGATCCTTGATGTTGAAATTCGACGCGATAATAATAGTCAGTTACACGACGTCCTTTTAATGCGACTCCAGATAGAATAATATCTTTAAAAAATTCTCGAAATCTATTTTCAAAGTACCTACTAGTTGTTACCGGATCTCTGCGAATTAAATCTAATTTTTCATTTCTTTGTAAATCTTTTGCTTCATCATTGCTTATAATAACATTGTTTAAGACTTTGCTTAAAATAACTATTAATTCATCCCATGAAACTTCAGCAGCAGACAACGTGAAAAATAGTGTAGGTAACCCAAGTTGTCTTATCATTGCTATAGATTCGTCTCTCTTTTGTTCCCAATAGGAAGGACTCGTTCTTAATTTTACTAAACTTTTGAAAGCTTTATCTGACGCTATAGCTTGATTGAGTTTTTCGTTATCTAAAGCATCTTTTACAGTCTCCTACTCCTTTAACTTTTCTTTTATAAATATTAACAGCGCTGTTTGCTTCATGACATTGTTTAATTTTAAAGGTAAAAAAAGATATGGTATGCATTCAGCACATCTTCTATCATATCTTCTTAGTTCTGATTTTGCTAAATCAGTCACACTAAGTTTCTGTTTTAATGCTTTTAGTTTACGTTTTTGACCGGCAAATAATTTTGGATATGCTAAAGCTGCTGCATTAATATCCATTAATATGTTTAAAGGTCTCTTACCTTCACCGGGAGCATATGCCACAGCTGCTTGTGGATCTTCGTAATCAAGTAGTGTATCTAAACATCCTACAATTTCTTCTTCTCGTTCTTCATTAATATTTTGAGAATTTTCATCTGCAGATTGTGTGTCGCTCATTTGAGAGAAATCGTTTGGAAATCGCTCATACCATTCATCTCGTAATTTTACTCCGGCATTTATATAAGCGTTTTGTTTAATTAAATAAGCGAGTGCTTTTCGAATAAATTCCGGTCTTACTGATTTGAAATTTCGATTTTCTTTTTTTCGTCTATCCGGATCTGTTATTCGTTTTTTTAGTTCTACACGGATAATATGAAGTTCATTTTCGAGTCGTGGAAGTAAAGGTAATGTTACATTTGGATCAACTGGAACGTTTACAACATTTCCTTTCATTTGATACTGGCCTCCTTTAGGTAATGATAATATTGTTTCAAATATTTTTCTTGCAGATACCATGCGCTCTTCGAGATCGTTTAAACTTTGAAGTGATTCTGGTATTTCTGGGAAATGCAAACCATTTGAAAGAGCAAGACGTGGTGTTTTTGCATTAATTATGTCCATATGACAAGTGTTACAGAACTGATTATTATTATTATCAATATTTACTACATTTTTCACAAATATTTCATAAGCAGATTTCGATGTATTTTTAAACTTATCTTTTAGATGTAGTTGTTCCATATTTATTATTTTTATTTGCATTTTAAACCAAAAACATCCACAACATGAACATATTTCTGTGGGACCACACAACTTCGAAATATTAAATTTTTCTATATTTACATTTAGTAATTTTTTGTTTTTTTCTCGAATAGTAGCTTTTCTTATTTTATCAGCTTCTTTTTCACGATCACGTATTTCTTCGTTTAGTCGTTTATCTGCTTTTCGTTCCTTATCAGCTTCTCTTTCACGATCACGTATTTCTTCGTTTAGTCGTTTATCTGCTTTTCGTTTCTTATCATCTTCTCTTTCACGTTCACGTATTTCTTCGTTTAGACGTTTATCTGCTTTTCGTTCCTTATCAGTTTCTCTTTCACGATCACGTATTTCTTCATATTGGCGTTTAGCTGCTCGGCGTTCCTTATCAGCTTTTCTTTCACGATCACGGAATTGGAAATTTTTGCGTTGATTTGCTTTTCGAATACGATTTTTTTCTTTTACACTTTGTGGATCTCCATCTGATTCCATTATTATCACTTAAATTACTTTTTATAAAATTAAACTTTTAATTATTAAAACTTTTATTATTTTATAATTATTAATACTGTACTTATATTTGCATATCACATAGTACTTAATATTTATTTTTAATGTTTTCTTGTTGAGAGCAGAAAACAAACTGAAAATCTTTAGAAAATGCAAGCCCTTTTATATACAGCTAAGACTAATATAAAACTTATAGGTGAAGTTAAATTTTAGCTTAGGTTTATGAATAATTTGCAATATGATTAAGTTTTTCTAAAATTTTTAACTTTATTTAATAATTACTAAACATATTTAATTAACATAGTCATATTCCATATAACTCATTTACTATAATTTGGAAAATGATTTGTTTAGTAATTATTAAATTAAGTTCAAAATTTTAGAAAAATTTAATCAGATTGCAAATTATTCATAAACCTTAGCTAAAATTTAACTTCACCTATAAGTTTTATATTAGTCTTAGCTGTATATAAAAGGGCTTGCATTTTCTAAAGATTTTCAGTTTGTTTTCTGCTCTCAACAAGAAAACATTAAAAAAAATTAGTGTTAATAAATATAAAATTTGTATTATTTTTGTGTTAATATTATTTTATAAAATTTAATTTGTTATAAAAGCTTTTTATACATTTTTATTATGGCATCCACTAATGTAAACTTAAATGTTAAAAACGAAGATGACAACTCTCAAGATATTGATTCAAGTTCTGATGAAGTCATTGAAAACGCCTTAGAAGCTTCAGAATATCAAATATTTGACGAGTTGAATGAAAATATACAAGATTTCAAGTTTGATATTCATGGAAATATCACAACAGATATCACTACCTCAGTATCGCAAAATTTAGTGAATCAAGACGTTGAAGAAGTGGACAACTCTCAAGAAATTGATTCAAGTTCTGATGAAATCATTGAAAACGCCTTAGAAGCTTCAGAATATCAGATATTTGACGAGTTGAATGAAAATATACAAGATTTTTAGTTTGATATTCATGGAAATATTACAACAGATATCACTACCTCAGTATCGCAAAATTTAGTGAATCAAGACCTTGAAGAAGTGGACAACTCTCAAGAAATTGATTCAAGTTTTGATGTAGTGATAGAAAACGCATTAGAAACTTCAGAATATCAAATATTTGACAATTTGAATGAAAATATACAAGATTTCAATTTTGATATTCATGGAAATATCACTTCACAAATAAATCCAAATAATTTGTTAAATATAAATCAAGATGAAGTGTTAGAATTAAGCATCGACGAAATGGTAAATCTTATTAATGATGAAGAAAATTAAACTTTCTAATAACTGATATTTATATTAAATTATAAAAATAACTTACTTTATATAGATGTATTCATTTATTAATTATATTGCGATGTAAAATAAATATCAGTTAAAATTAATTAAAAAAATATATTTATAAATTAATTTATTTGTAATAAAAATTGAATATATTAATTAATAAAAAATGAATAAAATTGAAAATTTTTAAAACAATTACTTTATTAATATTTTTATATAAAATTTATTAAAAAATAATTACTAACAATTACAGTAATTTACTACAGCATTTTAACTTTTAGTAAATTTTTGTAAGTGTCAATAAATAATTTTATTAAATTTTATATAAAAAAGATTAATAAAGTAATTGTTTAACAAATTTTCAATTTTATTCATTTTTAATTTATTAATATATTCAATTTTTTATTACAAATAAATTAATTTATAAATATATGTTTTTTAATCTAAGTTAATGATTTCATAATCAGTGTCATCGACTGTTATGACTTCTATGTTGTCTTCAATGGTTACCACCAGGATGTCGTTAACCCATGCGAAGTTAATATCGTCTTCAAAAAGGAATGGATTGTTTTGAAGAGGAATATTGTTTACCTCTTCGATGACAATTTCTTGACCGTCGACTCTGATGTTATCCTCATTTGGTGCAAAAAGAGGATCGTCGTCGTTTTCTGCAACCATTGGTTCTTCATATTCAGAACCATAAGTTGGAGACGGATAGTACGGGTTGTGGTCAATTGGCGCGTAGGGATTGATCCAGTCGTTGTTGATGACGTATTGTTGGTGGACTGGATTTTCGTCGTCCAATACGTCTTGCTGTGGTGGCTCTTCATTGTTGTTGTCAAAGATGGCGTCCAATGTTACTAACTCCACCCAAAGATTCCTACAGTATGGACACGTATAAGGGAGTCCGTTTTGATGCGCCGTCCTGAGGCATTGGATGAAGCATCTGTGGCACAGGTGGTGATCGCATGGTTGACACAAAGGTTCGAACTCCACCAGCTCCGCTACGTCATAACATACCAAACATTCGCCAATCAAAGCCATCTGTTGAGAAATTAAAATATTAATAAATAATTTATAAATTTTTCATAACAACTTACTCTTACTGTTGTAGAGGATGCTTAGCCAACCAAGCTATGAATGTTGAATGATGGTCACTGCAGAAATAGCAGTCTTTATATACTCATTTGGAAGCTACTGAGCAGTCGCACAACACGTCAAACAAAACTACATGTAAAGTTCGACACATTATGCATCTGAGGTCAAACAAAATTACAAGTAAAGTTCGACACGTATTTTGCATCAGAGGTCAAACAAAACTACAAGTAAAGTTCGATACATATTATGCATCTGAGGTCAAACAAAACTACAAGTAAAGTTCGACACATATTATGCATCAAAGTTCATGGAAAACTACAAAAAATGTATGACACTTACTGTGAATTCAGAGTTCATGGAAAAATACAAGAAAATTACGACAATTACTATGACATCAAAGTTCATGGAAAATTACAATAAACGTACTACACTTACTATTACGTCAGAGTTTATGGAAAAGTACGATCAAATTATTTTTTTTTGTCTATAATTATATTTTTTTATTATTAATTTTTTGAAACTATTAAATATGTAAAATTAAGTGAATTTTAGTTTTAAAAAAAAAAAAAAAATTTTATAATTGAATAAGTCAGGACTTAGCAGTTTAAAAAAAAAATGGGACATTTTTTTGTTAAATTGCAATCAAAAATGGTTAATTAAATTTTTTAAGTCCCGACTTAAAAAATTTAATTAACCATTTTTGAGGTCAAGGAATCCGATAAGCATAAAATAAATTGGTTTAGACAAAAAAAGAATACCGTAAAATTTTATTTTTTTTATATTTGTTATATATAAGAAACAATATTTAAATGACAAAAATAAAAAAATAATTATAAATAAGTCATTTAATTTGAAGTAATGACATCATTTTCAGCGCCATCAATAGTTATGACTTCATTGTTGTCTTCAATGGTTACAACCAAGATATCGTTAACCCATGCGAAGTCAATATCTTCTTCAAATAGAAATGAATTGTTTTGAA